CTCTCTGGTAACATATGACCACTTAACAAAGAAACGCTACATCAATATCATGTGACATTGACAAAGGTGACAGTGTTGAACAGGACTTGTCCACAACCTTACACAAAGCATTATATCCAGCAAGACAAAGCAACCTTTGAGAGCCTCAACGTGTCATTGTCGATGTGTATGTGTGTGTTTGCATGTGGGTGTGCAACCTGACATGCCAGCTGTGTGCTGATAAGACCGACACTGACAGGCTCTTTTATATGACTAAATGCCCAGCAGCAGCTGGGTCTAGCCCACTGCACTCCAACAAATTACACTTTATGACCAGCTGAACTCACAGTGGGGTCTAACACACAAAGAGGCAATGCCATTTTCGCAGCTAGCGCACTCTTTTTTTAACCTCCAGAACACAAGGCACTCTTTACCTCTCTGCTTGACTTGTAAACCAATCAAATTTAGAGAAATTGTGAGGTATAAGTGGACCTAATTCTACTAAAGCACACCATTTCTCATAAACCTTACTAGAAACGCTATAGCTTTACCATTTTACAGTTAACTAGACAAATAGCTCAGCCAGAGTCTTTGTCAAGCTGCCTGGGTATATATCATAATGCAGCCTGAATGTTACTCAGATATACTTGGCCATCAAGTTAATTAAGTACTATTTAAGCCAATAATACATAACAGTCTTATATCCATTGAGCTGTGGGTCAACCAAAGAGCTTGCATAACCTGCAGGTCAGCTGTCTACAGCCACAACTTATTCCACGTCCATGCCTTTCAACAACGTAACAGGCCCACCTCCTACACTTGAGTTTTATCTTCTACCTTGAGGTCCATTTATAATGCTTGTGTAGCTTCATGTACTGATCCATTTTTACATGACCATTTTCCAACCTCTCAGGCTGACCTTTAAGACCGAAATATGTAAATAATCTCTGTTCTGATTGGCTCTCCTCTATCACTCAAAACGCAGTCCATGCTAAAACACTCCTTATAACTTCAGAGTGAATGGGCGGGGCTAATCCACATGTAAGGTGAATAGGCAGATACATACAAATAACATATACTACACATGTAAATAACCACTGTACCTTCCACATTTCTACCAGCAGTTTACTTAACTATTCACCCTCCTTCAAACAGGATATGCCTGATAGACTGAAGGCCTGAAAACAGGCTTAAATTTTAAACCAAGTCTTTTTTCAAAATTACAATGCACATGCAATGTGTGGAATGAATTTTATTTTCCCATCCATCCATTAATAGAGTAATCCTCTGATTTTTCAACATTTCTGCCTAATTAAATCATTAAGATGTGAACAAAGTCGTTCAAATTGGTTTGACGTGGAATGCTCAGACTGTTCACAGTGGTGGTGTTAGGAACCAGACGACTGAGTAATTTAATGACTCTAAAAGCTTCCTCACAGAAAGCTATTACACAAAATGGTTATGAATATGCTGCCTGATGCCTGAGACATTGTTTTGCAATAGTTTTGAGAGTTTTGAGGCCTAAATTGTATTTCTTTTAATTAATTCATTGTGGAAAAATACATGTATTGCTTTGTAAGCCAAAATAGTACTTTAAAACCCAAAATTTTTCATAGGTATTAATTTGCCACAATTTTACCACATTACATATTGAATTAAGTAAAATGGCTGTGTTTCCGTTGTAGACATGTCGACCCCTGGTTCCTATCATCACTGTAAAGAAATCTGAGATTGTACATTACAATAAACAATTGCACATCAAAACAATCGGAATGACTTTATTTACATCTCAATGTTTGAATTATGCCAAATTTTTTAAATATTGAAGGAATTAATGATGCAACAAACTCATTAAGGCAGCACTAAACAGTCTGGTAATTTTGTTTAAAATATGATCAGTTTATGGATTGGAAACGAGATGTGAGTAATGTTTTTCAGTACATTATTGTAGCTATTTTGTAGTGTTTTACATCACTTTACACTTCACAAAATTATTACAGCACAACCATATGGATATGGAAGTATTAATAAAAGCTTGACTAAACCATGAAAGAATCATTTCACAATACTGAAAAAATTGAATAAAAAATGTTTTCTCTGTCTATTTTGTGTGACAGAGTGGTCTAGTTAAGCTTGATGGACACAGTCAAGGCTGGAGAAAACAGCAACGTAAAATGTACCTGCACTTTGCTCCTCTGAAGCCTGGTGGCATTTCACTCATCATGTCATTTAATGTGACAGTACATTATTTCTATGGAGCAGTAAGTTAGTGTGACAGGGCAGAATGCAATATTTGTAGATATAAAGAATGATTAAATTTGACTGAAAAATTATGTTTTATCTTAACTTTGTATATATGCTATTAAAATGGAAACAGATATATACGTAAAAGTAAAGGTTTGATGTTTAATACAACACAATATTTGAGATGGAACAATGACTGTCTATACAGACATGTAGTACATATATTTAAAAAAAATCTTCCAACTGCATTAAAACACGGCAGACTTCATTGGCATTGGGATATTAAAGACATTTGAATGATTAACTTAACATTAATTTTTTAGAAGTTATGTTCTGTATAATTTGAGTAACAGGATTAAACATCAGTCAATGTCATAATGTTACTGAAAAAGAAAGAAACATACTTTTCTTTTTCCCATGATGTTCAGGAAACTTGGATAAGGCAAATTTCTGCAGAATATGTGACTTTCAAACAATCCAGATAATTCAGAGTATCAGTGAATGTGTTCAGGTTTGAGTTAACTATGTACATTTTTCATAATATATAATGAATGACTCACAAAGAGGGGCTGTCAAATGGATTTACATGTTGCAAAAATAATATGATTTTTAAAGCAATTTAATAATCCTATTTTAAAGAAAAATGGGCTGATGTTTTCTGTGCTGTACAAAGGTTTCATTATCAGAAAGTTATTAATCAGAAACATGAACATAGATTGTTGAGAAGGACTGCTTAAAACATCTTCTATCTTCACATTATGTTATTATTATATTATATATTATATGTTATTGTTATATTTGTAAGTAAAACAAGAATAGCATCCCAATTGTGGAATCACCCAAAATTATATCATTTACTCAATATGTCACTAAATGTGACAGTACATGAACCATTTCTATGCCTAAATAAGTTGATATGACAGGGTGGAAAGCAAAAGTAAAGGACTTTTACTTAAAATTAAGATTTATTTTATTATTTTCTAAGTAAAAATAAGTTCACATCATCTACAGGTAACTTAAATATGGCATTTTGCTAATTTTAGTCCACGATTTCTGTATATTTGCTAAGTTTAACAATTTGGTGGGAGAGGGGTTAACACAATTACTTTTGCACAGCCCACATTTTAGATTTCATTTTTCCCAATATTTTATATTTTGTTTAAATTCCATCCTTAACTCCTCAAAACATTTAACAACAGCAGCAAAAAAACATATATAACATTTTCACTGGTGTTAAAAAAACAATCATATGCTATGCAAACTTATACGTTTAAATTTTTAATTGATTTTTTTAAATCTCAGCATAAATCAGTCGTTGACATGTAAACAAAGTCATTCAGAGCGGTTTGACGTGAAATGGTTCACTGTGGAGAAACTTACCAATTTGGATTTCTTTAAAGTGGTGGTGACAGGAACCAGGGGTCACAATGTCACCAATGCAACTAGGCATTTTAATTACTACCCAAATTGACTATTAAACCTACACGTGTCTTCTGAGTGTTAACATGTTTGATGATGGTAAAATAATGGTAAATGTGAAAAATACTGGGGACTCTATATTGCCTTAGAACACACTATGTACACCCCTCCACAATGAATGCGGTAAAAAATTTCATTTTAAGCTAAAATCTGATCTCGAAACTATCATCAGTTTTTTACAAAATTTGAACATGCATGTTGACTTTTACCTTGTGGATGAAGTTCATGACGAATGGACCAAAAGAAATGGTGCAAAATTACACAGAAATAGTGGTTCCATTGGCTTACATTAAAAGTAAAGTAGGTTTTTTCCTTCTCCTGTAAAGTCATCATTTTGGAGATACGAGGTTTTGTTCTGACAGCAGCGATATTTATAACCACTTAATGGAAAAAAATGAGATTTGAAGCTCACAGAGCTTTGGAAAGGCACTATATAAATAAAACATGTTATTATTTTATTACTATTTTTATTATCATCATTATAACTTCCTGTGAGGAAGCCTTTAAAGGTGGATGTCTGGCTCCTAAAACCACCACTGTGATCAATTTTGATTGGGTACGTTCGTCTAGAACACAGCATTTCACACCAAACCACTCAGAATGACTTTGTTTACATCTCAACCATGTAATTATAGAAAAAGTTTAAAAGATTCATGGCATTCCCCTTTAAACTTGCAAAAACGCTTAGCAGCTTATAAGGTCCCTAAGGCAGCGAATGTTGTGGCTCAAACCGCACTCTTTTCACGGAATGACCCCAAACTGTTTGCTGAGGCAGCTAAAGGAGCCCAATATGTCCCAACAGCTTAGCGGACAGGTTAGCATAATGCTTTTTGTGGGTGAATTATCACGACGTGTTGGCTGACTTTTAGGCTAGACTGAGTTCTCCATAACACAACAAAAATCTGACTGTTAATGTTGCTAACACTGCTTCAACCCGGAAACAGCAGATGCGAAGCGTGACTACGAGGAGGACACTTAAACACACACACACTCACACACACACACACAGCAATATTTGGGTCAACTGCGAGACCCATATTACGGTCTGCCAATCCGTCCTTAGTCTGAAAAACCAAAGTCAAGCCCACATTAGCTTGGCGTGTTAGCCTCCGCCGGTCATTTAAAGAAACTAACGTTAGCTGTCCAACCAAACATGCTAGTGTGCTCTCTGCAACATGAAGGACAATAGGACTAGTGATATGATTAGTCTGCATTAATAACACTCTAAAAAGCTTTTTTTTCAGGGCCAAAAGAGGGCTGAGCAAGGACAAAAAGAACGACACCGAATGCACACTTACAAATTTCTTCTGAATGATGTTTCTCTTCGGCCTTTCCTTACTCATTTTCGCTCTCCGTCAACCTTCAAATCGACACATTAATTTTGGATGAGATCTTAATGTTCCCGTCGTCGTTTAAACACGTGATTAGTTAAATCCCTGGTAGCAATATGTCGAGGTAGGCACACAAATGTTTTCCTTTTTTTATCCCCGCTGCTGTAACGTTAGCCTAGTCTCTTTCTTCTTAGCGAACGAAAACGGGCAGATCTGAATTTAAAGCTCCACGGCGAGTAAAAGCGGGGCCAATGCAGCAGAGCACGGCGGTGTTAATATCCGAGGGAAATGTGCTGGAGAGGAGCTCCCTTAGTCCGTTTGTTGTTGGCTAAAACGGCGGTATTGTCAGTTCTCGAAGCACCACATTCTTGTAGCAGTCCGAACAAAAAAAAAACCAAAAAAAGCCTCGCATTGGCCTCAGCCTTCGCACTTCACGGTGTGTCGCTCCGTTTTACATGCTGCGGGTGTGGAGAAGACGGCGGTGCGGAATAAAAACTCGGGAGTCACGTTTTGGCCGCCGTTGTGCTCCCGCATATTGTGTGAACTCGATGGCACCGATGCTAACGCGACCTGCTGGCGTCTTTCTTCTGGGCCTCGGTCCTATCACACACGGCGCTGTGTTCAGCGGCAAATTTAAACCTCCGCCGGGGTCGTCTTTCAGATTTGTTTTTGTCCGGTTGTCCGGTTTATTGAATGAGTATGCTGTGAGGAGATAAGTCTTGGTTTGTCCTCTATGCAGCGCTCATTAAAGGCTCTGTTTGGAGTCGGGCTTGTTTTGCTGTGAGGAGGAGAGTGAGTTAACTGAAGAACCGTATAGGAATGGCTTGCTAACTGGGAAAAGCTAACGTTAACTAAAACTGGAAACCGTAAGAGTCCCTAAGGTGATGTGGTAATTATTTTTTAATAAGGCGTGGCCACGAATTGTCATATTGAGGCCATAAAAGAATATATTGAGGCTATGATCTACTACATTGAGGCCATAAATTAAGATATTGAGGTCACGAGTTAAGTTTCTCATACCTCATGGCATCGATATATTCATTCACGGCCTCAAAATAGTAATTTGTGACCTTGATATAGTAAATTGTCGCCTCAATATAAGAGTTTTGTTACCTCAATATATTAATTTATGACCACAGCCTTATTAAAAAAAATAGTCAGCCTGTCACTTTAGGGGCTATGTAGAATAGGATTCTTGAAGCAAATTAGGACGATAACTATAATGTACTACAGGATATTACACAAGTATTATACATTACTATAGGATTATTATACAGAAGTAAAAGCATGTGAAAATTTTTATAGACATATAAAACACTTTTATAGACATATTTAATGGAAATCTTATAGCTTGTTAGCTTATTACTGGCTACAGTTTTTCAAAGGTAAAAGTGTTTATAACCTGTGGACATGTGTGTGTGAAATGACTATATGGAAAAGTAAGCTAGTAGCTAATAGAGAATATAATGCTCAACTGATAATTATGAAATGATGTTGTGTTAAAATTTCATCAGGGTAGTTTTTCAGATTTGCATTTGTCCAGTTATCCAGTTTATTAAATAATTATGCTGTGAGAGAGAAAGTGTGTTAAGTGGAGAACCATGGAGGAATGGCTTGCCAAGTGAGAAAAGCTAACTAAACCTGGAAATGTGTGCTTCTATGAAAAAGACCTATAGTAATAATACAGGAATTAGTTAGTATCTCATATGAAACACAAAGTAAATTGGAACAATTACTATAATTTACTGCAGGAAACTACACAATTATAGTAATATAACTGCAGCAATATGAAACAGAAGTAAAAGCATTATATGTTTTTCTAAACATATCATGAAGAACAATGGAAATCCTATATTTTGTTACATAAAGGTTTAGAACCTGTGAACATTCAAGTGTGAAATGAATGTACTACTACTACTACTAATTGCATTGAATTATTTTGCATTGATTGAGAATTAAATGTTAAAATGACCCCTAAACCTTAAGGAAAAGTGTGAAATTGTGAAATTATGTTAAATTTTTGCTTGGGCCATGTTTCAAATTTGTTATTGTCTGAATGTCCAGTTTCCTGAATGATTATAGAATTAAAGTATTATAGATTTTTGTAGGTGTATTTTACAACACAATAGAAATTTTAGATTTGGTCATTGTATTACTGCAGTTCTTTTTCATAAAGGTTTATAAACTGTGGACATTCAAGTGGAGAAATGACAATATAATATATGGACAAGGTGAAAAAGTGGGCTACTAAAATCCTGCATTGAATTATGCACCTTGATAGAAAATATAGTGTAAATATAAATGTGAAATTCAAAATCTGTGAAATTATGTCATGGTAAATTCACAGTATTGCAAATAAATGTAAACAGCATCATGACCATATACGTATAAAGTTTAGCTTTTGATTTACAGGGTACAATTTTTGGCTGTTTGGTTAGTTGATTTTAGACACCCCACTAAAACATTTTAAAGGAAATTCCACTGAAATTTTTAAATTTCTTCATTGTTGGTATTTAAGCAAAGTCATTCAGAGTAGTTTGATGTGAAATGCTCTGCTCTAGAGAAACTTCCAGAGTCTGAAGAGTTTAATGCATCTAAAAGCTGCCTCAAAGAAAGTTATTACATTACATGGTCAAGACATTGTTTTACAATGTTATTTTAAAACCATTCATGGCGAATAGGTAAATGTAGGATATTGTATGGCAAAATAGTCTCCAAAGAAAGTTTTTTTAGATTTACACTTTTCTTACCTTTATCAACATCACATATAAAACCTCAGAAGACACGTGTAGGTTCAGTGTTTGTTTTGGATAGTAAATAAAATGGCTATATTTGCAGACGACGTGACCCCTGGCTCCTACCACCACCATTGTAAAGAGATCAGAGTTGCTAAGTTTGTCTACAATGCACTCTTTCACATCAAATCACTCTGAATGACTTTGTTTACATCTCAGTGATTACATTTTGCAGACAAATCACTGGAAATGGAATTTACCTTTAACCAATGCTAATGGCTCGGTATGAAACTGAAGTATTTTATTAAAGAGTTTGTTCTTATTACCATTTAAACTAAGCAGTTACTATGTAATAAAACTTTTTAACATATTGCCTATTTAATCTACTTTAGTCAGCAACATTGCCTAATTATCCAAACTGACAAAATGTGTGTGCAACAAATACCCATTTTTCAAATGTGTTTACATGAATAAGGGACAGAGTAGAGTGCGCGAAAAAGCTAACACTGCCAAAAAACAGAGGCATTTGGAAAAAGTACAGATCCTGAAAAAGCTAACATAGGTAGAAATGCTCTATTATGTCTCTGACATCTCATTTTATTCCTTTTTTTACCACAAAGAGATTGGACAACTTTGTGGTTACAGAGCTAAAGCAATTTATGACTCTGTCAGATCTCACTATAACTATTATTATCACTGCAACATTTCCATGGTTCTCCAAGCTACACAGAACTTTTTGTAAAAAGGTAAAGAACAAGCATGTCGAGTATGAGAACTAAATTGGTAAGATGCTCTGAAATGATAATAACTTTGTACTATAAATGTCCTTAACTTTTACGTTAACTCCTTAACAGGCCATGGGCCCGCATTATTAGGATGTAGTAAGCCTGGGATTTTAAGGGGCTATTGTAACAAGACTTTATTCCAAGGAAAGTTTAACTGCAATGTGCAAATGCCATTTGCAAGTGTTGTAAAAAAGAAATTGGAGTTGACAGTAATAATAATATGATCCATTCAGTTAATGTGGACTTCTGGAAGCACTAAAAAGTGAGTACATGTAGACGAGTGCATATATGGTACACCAATAGGGTCTGGTGGCTCTGTTATGCTGTTGGGGACATTTTGCTGGCATGGTTTAGTTTCATGTTTATCCTACGATCAAACATTTCTATACTGATAGAAGTATTTTCTTCCAGGATAACAATGCCCCCCATCCTCAGGGTACAGGAGGTCACTGAATGGTCTGATGAGAATATGCTATGGCCTTCACAGTCACCTGACCAACCCAATATAAAACCTATGTGTGTTCCATCCCTCCAGTACTGTTCCAAGGACTCTATGCCAAGGTGCATTGAAGCTGTTCTGACGAGTTTTTTTTCCAATGATTTGTCACCCATTTTATCACTACCTTTTTTCCATTTTGAGGAAAAGCTCACTCCAGTCAGCAGAGACAGCTGTACATTTTGAGTATAGCTCTGAGCAGCCACTTCTGTGAAGATTCATTTTTTACTCCCAAAACAATTCATTAGCCACTGCAGTCAAGCAAGGTGTCCAGCTCACCGTAATGCCCGGAGCACGATGAATATAGTATGAGAACCCTCAGCTTCACAGGCATCACGACAGATCACAGCAGACATTTACAGCCCACTAGTTCCCACAAAAGGCATCACTCCCAATGCACTTCTCCACCAGCTGAAGTCTATTCACTATTATAGATGCGCTGCATGGACAAAAGTATGTGGACATCGACCATCACACCTATGAGTTTGTTGGACATCCCATTCCAAAACCATGGGCATTAATATGGAGTTGCCCCCCTCTCCCTTTGCGGCTATAACAGCCTTCACTCTTCTGAAAGGCTTTCCATAAGATTCAGTCAAAAGAGCATTTGTGAGGTCAGGCACTGATGTTGGACGAGACGTCCTGGCTCGCAAACGATGTTCTAATTCATCCCAAAGGTGTTTTAGTGGGGTTGAGGTCAGGGCTCTGTGCAGGTCACTGCGGTTCCTCAACACCAAGCTCTTCAAACCTTGTCTTTATGGGCCTTGCTAGAGCCGGAAAGGGCCTTCCTCAAACTGTTGTCACAAAGACGGAAGCATGTAATTGTCTAAAATGTCTTTCTATGCTGTAGTGTTAACATTACTCTTCACTGGACTTGAGGAAAAAACAGCCCCGGACCATTATCCCTCCTCCACCAAACATTACTTTTGGCAATATGCATTCCGGTAGGAAGTGTACTCCTGGCAGCTGCCAAACCCAGATTCATCCATCAGAATGCCAAATAGTGGCATGTAATTCATCACTTGAGAGAACCAGTGGCAGCATACTTCCCACATGCTTGGCATTGCACGTAATGATCTTAGGTTTGTGTGCAGCTATGGAGCCATGGAAACCCATTTAATGACACGCTTCACCACTCAGTTGGCCTGTTCTGTAAGTTTATGTGCTCCTGAATGCTTCTATTTCACAATAATAGCACTTACAGTTGACAGGGGCAGTTCTAGCAATGCGAAGGTGGTGTCCTATGACAGTGCCACATTCAAAGTCACTAAGATCTTCAGCATGACTCATTCTGCTGCCAATGTTTGTCTATGAAGATTGCATGGCTATGTGCTTGATTTTATACACCTGTTAGCAAGTGTGACAAACAACTGAACTCAACAATTAGGACAGGTATCCACATGCTCTCAGCCATATAGTGCAGATTGGCTATGCAGATCTAAGTAATCTAAGTGTATATGCTGCTGTATTGAAGTGTATACGGGCTGCTATTATATCCATTTGCTTTAAATTCTTTCCACTGAATGGTAAATTGAAACATTCAAATATAATAAACAGTGTAAAACATTAGCGAGAATTGCTGAACTGCTCAAAGTTTAATTTCTTTATCTTATGCTAATAAGCTAAGGTGAATAAGGCTCATATAGATGACAATCCAACAAGTACAGCAATTAGGAATATCGATTTGAATTAAGTCTAGCACATTATAAGTTTTAAGTAAACTGAGCATATGAATACGCATGGCCTACT